AAGGAGTATCGCACCGCTATACGTTCGTCCCCCTGACGTAGCACATAAAAACAGAAATGTATTGGTTATTATACATAATTGATCCCAATCCTACTCACAAATAACATAACACAATGTTTTGCAGTGGGCAAGACTTCGATAGGGAATACATTATGCATTTATGAATATACATACATATTGAATTGAATATTTCGATTAATGCACTTGCATTAAACTTAATACTTCAAAAAAAAATTTAATGTTACATGCTTCAAACCAATCTGCGGTTATTTTTTACAACATTTTCAACATAAACAGAATCTGATGGATATTCATCTACGTAATGGCAGCCGTTCACGAACCAAAACTTCTTTTTTGAGGAAAAAAACTTGTGTCCGTAACACGAAGAACTTTCGTCCTGCCAATGTTGGCATTAAGGCATGAGTTCATGCGCACAACCCCAGCATCGCCAGATATAAAGAACGCCTGGCTGAGCGATTTGAGTCGTCCATTCCTCCGAATATAGGATCTACGGACTACGTTCTAGCATGCAAATTTAGTTTAAAAAGCTACTTTTCTTATTGACCGTAACTTATTTTTAAATTATGTCATAAAAAATATTACAGCTTAAACTAGACTGTATTAATATACATGCCATCAGTTAAATACAAACCACTTATCAAAATTGCTAAATAATTGTTTTCGAATTTGAATAAAACTTATGCCTTGAAAAGACAGAAGTCAAGCTACGCTCAATTTTACCGCCAAATACAGCCTAGTTCCACGTGACCGTTATGCACAAATGACTCGCGCATTTGTGATTCCCGCCATGTTAAGACATATGTTCTGCACTATACTCTGTAACATACAGAACTTTCAAAAAGCTTTATTTCCTAACAATAGAGAAAAATAACTAGTAATTTAAATTAAAGCAAAGAAAAGATTGTGAAGTCCCAATGCTAATGAACTTTGTCGTCTCTGCAAATTTTCCTTAAAAATAGTCCCAATATTTAATGCTAATGAACTTTGTCGTCTCTGCAAATTTTCCTTAAAATAGTCCCAATGCTAATGAACTTTGTCGTCTCTGCAAATTTTCCTTAAAAATAGTCCCAATGCTAATGAACGTTGTCGTCTCTGCAAATTTTCCTTAAAAATAGTCCCAATGCTAATGAACGTTGTCGTCTCTGCAAATTTTCCTTAAAAATAGTCCCAATGCTAATGAACTTTGTCGTCTCTGCAAATTTTCCTTAAAAATAGTCCCAATGCTAATGAACTTTGTCGTCTCTGCAAATTTTCCTTAAAAATAGTCCCAATGCTAATGAACTTTGTCGTCTCTGCAAAATTTTCCTTAAAAATAGTCCCAATGCTAATGAACGTTGTCGTCTCTGCAAATTTTCCTTAAAAATAGTCCCAATGCTAATGAACTTTGTCGTCTCTGCAAATTTTCCTTAAAAATAGTCCCAATGCTAATGAACGTTGTCGTCTCTGCAAATTTTCCTTAAAAATAGTCCCAATGCTAATGAACTTTGTCGTCTCTGCAAATTTTCCTTAAAAATAGTCCCAATGCTAATGAACTTTGTCGTCTCTGCAAATTTTCCTTAAAAATAGTCCCAATGCTAATGAACTTTGTCGTCTCTGCAAATTTTCCTTAAAAATAGTCCCAATGCTAATGAACGTTGTCGTCTCTGCAAATTTTCCTTAAAAATAGTCCCAATGCTAATGAACTTTGTCGTCTCTGCAAATTTTCCTTAAAAATAGTCCCAATGCTAATGAACGTTGTCGTCTCTGCAAATTTTCCTTAAAAATAGTCATATTGAATACTCGAGTGAAATAAAAACAAATCGTTTTTATTTACAATCTGTAATATTTCCCTCACAATTTCTGTGATATGTCTTCATCTTCTTCGCTGTTCTTATTGTGTGAATCATAATTTTACGCGTGAAAATACTATGTAAGTTTTATGGTTGTTTCTGAATCTTAAATATAAACAAATGCATGCTGAAGGGTTAGCAGAAGATAAAGGTAAACAAGGTTAGCTATATAGCTATACTATACGTAACTACTAAACCAACTACTAATATGTCACGGACTTAACCGGATATGATTGTTGTTTAATCGACGTATCTTGTAATTATAACTCTGCTTCGCACAATGAATACAAAAATTAAATTGTGTTTTTTTAGGAAAGGATGGAATGACAAAAAGTATTTTCTTGCATGGCAGACTGGCGTTTTCGTGAGTTTTACCCATGCCGGAAATTTCATCTGGCATGGGAGGTGCCAGATGAGTCGCGTGCCATACAACAACGTCATCTTAGCGCATTTTATGAATGAACCACGTTAAAATGACGTTATTTTAGAAGGGAACTATGGCTTAGGTTGAAGTCATTTCGCCGTTGTTATCAAAGTTGTGAATTCATACGCTATGTATATGTTAGTGTTCATCCGTGCTGTTTGTTCTACAGAAATTAGAAACTTCGACGGGAGCGATAGCGACCGGAGAATGTTTCTTATATCTGTAAAAGAGCAACGGATGAATACTAACATATTTAGTGTCAAACATTATTTGGCCTCATTAATATTCACTTTTAATATGACATATGTTTGCGGTTCGGATCGGAATATCCGTCCCATGGGCGGTAACTCCGATATTCCGATCCGAACCGCAAGCCTCGTTACCGCCCAATGGGCGGGTCACCTCGGGACGGATATTCCGGTCCGAACCGCAACATATGACAGATATTATTAATCTTGATGAAATACAGCCTTGCCAATGGATGACAAAGTTGGACACTAATGTAAGAAAAAAGTTATATATGAAATAACTTTAATTTCAATGAACAAATATCTAATTGCGGTAAACCATTTTAAATATGAAATAATATGGCAGAATATGCAAGAAAATATATCTGACATATGTTTGCGGTTCGCATCGAAATATCCGTCCTTCGGGAATCCGCCCATGGTCGGTAACTCGGCAAGCCTCGTTACCGCCCAATGGGCGGGGTCCCCTCGGGACGGATATTCCGATCTGAACCGCAACATATGACATATATTATTAATCATAAACATTAAATAGATAATCCATCCATATGGATCGGATACAAAGTGTGAAAGGACGGACGACCGGAAGCTGCACAAACTATGCATCCCCATCAAAACGGAAAGAAGGATCAATTTCAGCGATAATTGTAAATTTTAACCGGACACCGAAAACTGCCTTTCCAACATTCATATGGCAATTGGTCTTTCGCCAAGTCGCATTTGATGCACTTTAGACAGAATGATGTTGTCTTTTAGCGTTAAACGTTGGCAATACTGACAAAGGACAAAATCTTTGAAATGCAAAAAAAAAAACAACGACACATCAAGCACGTGTAGAGCGGATCTCGTGTAACATGTAAATTTTATTGTAGAGCTCTCCACAGTGTTGAGGATGATTGCTGACGGCATCCATTTTTGCCTATCAAATTAAAGTATATGAATCTTATTTACAGCCTAAAATAATTAGAACAGTCTACAAACATTGGCGCTTCAAAATACGACTCTACTTAAACGAAAAATTTACATCGAGGTGGACAAATCGGTTAAAGGAAATATCGGAAAATATCATTTACATGTAAGTTACATTTAACACTACGAACATTGGAACAGTGGTTCATTCGGATTATAATCCTTTAAACTGTATAGATTGATTATTGCTTTGTGAATAGCGATTTCGAAAAATAGTTACAGTAAACATTTATTATAGCTAGTAATATATCTGGCAGCCGGCTACCTTATACTCCAGTAGAGCCATGAACAGTCTAGGTCATTAGTACAGCTCAGTTATTTTTAGATATGATCAGATAAAGTCGCGTAGAAAGCATAGTTTTAGCATCAATTCAATGAAAAAATATCAGATTATTGAGTTATATTTTTGTAAAGCTGGAAAAGGGATATTCTTAGTTTATTTTTCTGCTGTTAATAAGTTTTAAAGAATTGTCAATCAAAGGTAAATGTATCAATCTTCTATACCATAAATAGTTCAAACATATTTACTTTATGCAAGTATATGTTGCATTTAGTTGCTTTGTTGAACAAATACTTATGCTATTGAGTAAACATATTTTGTACTTATGTTTGCATTGTACAACAGTCTGTTTTCCTGAACCACTTGTGCGCCATTTTGAACATTGTAAAGGCATTGTCAGCACTCACTTTAAATAGGGCGCGCAACATTCAGGTTGTGCAAGAAGTCGTGCAGATTGGTTTCCGCAGCCAGTCTTCTTTAGCACACCACGCTAGCTGCATGCGCAACAAAAGGGTATATGAACTGAGAATTTTCTATTTATCTAATTTAAGCTGATCCGGAGACTGACGGAATAGCCGATATTAGATGCAATTCGACCAATCAGAAGTTCTTATTTTCCCTCCATTTGAGAAATTAAACAAATCTTCATCAGCTGCAAAAAAGACCTCTCGCATGCTTCTCGCATAGCTGGATCTTTCACTCAGTATATCACTCGTACATATACTGTTTTGCCTCATATTTCCGTGGTACTTAACACTTTAACATAGACAACAAAAGTTAGAAGAATAAAATTCTGGAAAATATGTTGAATAATGTAGGTAAGACATTTCAGTTACATCATAGTTTATTCCTTAGTACATCTATACCTAGCCTTGTTTGAAAGTGGGGATTTTCTCTATAGCATTTATCAAATATCTTAATGGTTGTTTAACAAAGACAATTGTCTTAAAAGGTACAAAAACAAAAAGTAAAATGTTGAAATAATTTACTTTGCCCCTAATCTGAATAACATAGTAAGTTTTCTCAGTTGTATATGTTACATTTCCAATAAAAATACAATAAAAAAGTGTAAGTAAAACTCCTGGCAGGTGCATGTAGTCTATGAGGCAGTTAAGACTGTTCATGCCTATTACCTTGAAAATATGGGTACCACGGAAATATGAGGCACCAGTAAATACTATTTTTTCCAGATGGTAATAAACAATGTAAAAAGAAAAACAACACGATCAATATGTTATATACTTTATTTTAACATTTCAATATACATATACATGTATATGTATTTAAAGTGACATTATGCTCATTTTCCCTGTGGAGATGCGTTAGAAATATATTAAAAAATTAGCTATTATATATAATTGTATTGACCAATTATTAATAATAAAAATGTGTATGTTACAATATAAAAGCTACCTTAATTATAAAAAGACTGACCCACTCTTGTTACCGATACATTCTGGTGATATTAATAATAGAAATTTCAGTCGATCACGTGCATTGTTTACACTTGGATGTTGAACGTTGCAAAATTCAAAAAGTATTTTTATGCGATGTAAAAACATATTTATATTACATAATTTTATATTTATGTTGTAAAATAATTATTTATGTGGTAAAATTCCGCATTTGTATTGTATAAAACTATTTATGTTCTATATTTATAGAATATAAATGTGTAATTAAAGGGAGATACAGGCAAAATTTTCATGCCTTAGTTTTGAATTTTTCATTCATTATTCTGTAAATGCCCTCAAAATGAATATATTTGACAGTCAAAGGAACAAAACTTTTCTCCATATAAAGAATAAAATGGTAGTTCCCTAACTTGACCCGTGTGGGTCAGGTTAGAGCGATAGCATTTCACAATAGTTGTCAAAGTGAACTCTGGAAATGTTAAAGAACATGTCAAATGAATGACTTAGGCTTGTTTTAATCATACAATATCCACAATATCTGTTATTGTAACTTCAAGGGTTTGTTCAAATCACCTGACTTGTTTTAAAACTATTTGGTGATTCTATTGGCGTCTAAATTTTGTTCAACATACATAGAAATATTTACGCTTCAAACCCAAAATATATAGAATTTAAACAGAAATTCATGCTGAAACTTCAAGAAAAGTCATTTTAGCGTGATTTGAGTGCATATGATCATTTTAATATTTTTGTCATTATTTTGCCTGAATATCCCCTTAAAACAAAAATATTTTTACAATATAAATATATAGGTTTTGAATGTAAATAAAAATATTGAACATTAATATTTTTATACAATACAAATGCGGAATTTTACCACATAATAATTATTTTTTTACAACAAACATATGAAATTATACAATATAAATGTACTTTTATATCACTTAAAAATATTGTTTGAATCACACGCCATGTGGATGGGCATAACGTCACTTTGTGTAAGTAGGTGGTTAATATTTCTTAAACAAATGCTAAGAGTAAGTTAAAGAGCATTATTTTGTTTTTTCTGCATTATTTTTATAGAGTATTTGCCTGCACATTTTGAAACATTTATTCTTTTTATCATGTAAAAGTCTATGACGAAACGGCCTGCATGTTCAAATTTTTGATTAGCAAAAAAAATTTAAGAACTTTAACATTTGTATAACATATATATATATACTGATTTTGCTTTGATACGTTCGGCTTTAAGAGTTCAGGACGTAATGAGAGTGCATTGTACGGGCACTGTACCTTAAATTTCCACTGATTAATGTGTTGATAGTGCCAAATTTTTATTATTTCTTTGCATGATAAAGTAGATGACTTTATTAAAACATTTACAAGTATATGAAAACACTGCTGAATAAGACATACACTATGAAGTAGCATTAAATGTATAGTTCTTGTAATATTTCATGGATATCAATTAAGCTGCACAATATGTAAAGTATCTTAACACTAGCTAAATCACAAACGCCGCCACTGTTTTAGTTTAAGCATAAATTCATAAACTTTACATTCTGTGAAACTTCAATCAAATACATATTGTATAGCATTCTTTGATTTTCAATAGTCAACGCAGTGTTCACAAAAATATATAATAAGACAACACTTTACCTTTGTGGAATAAGCGATAGGGCAATTTATCGGAGGTATATACCTCTGCAAGAGGTAGCTCTTGTTTAAAAAAAATGAAATCCAACTTTAGTCTCTAAACTACTTTATGTTCAGATTTTGGATCGTGGGTTGTTTCATAATCAATGTGAACAAATGCTCTCTCAACATTAATGAGACTTTCGATCTTCTGTTGAAGGGGTTCTGCTATATCGTGAGCCTCTCTTAACGTCATTTCCGGCGGAAGAACTATGTCTACCTCTACAAGAAAACTGTGTCCGAAATGAAAAGCCCTCACGGTATCAACCTTTTTAATTTTCTTGTGGTGATCCATGCATATCCATGTAACCTTGCTGATGAATGCCGTCGTTGCTGTGTGACCAACAAGGAGTTTAATCTGATCTAAAGAATTAACGGTAATATACACCATGAGTTATACGGGATTGAATAAAAGATACACACTACTGGATGGCAGATCCATGTTATACCATGTTTAGTATACACGATAGCAATTCATGTTATACACAATTTGTATCCATGTTATACACGATAGCTACACACAATGGCCAACCATGTAATACACGATAGCCAATTATGCTACACACAATGGCCAACCATGTTATACACGATAGCCTATTATGCTACACACAATGACCATGTTATACACGATAGCTGATAATGCTACACACAATGGCCAACCATGTTATACACGATAGCCAATAATGCTACACACAATGGCCAACCATGTTATACACGATAGCCAATTATGCTACACACAATGGCCAAACATGTTATACACGATAGCCAATTATGCTACACACAATGGCCAAACATGTTATACACGATAGCTGATAATGCTACACACAATGGTCAACCATGTTATACACGATAGCCAATTATGCTACACACAATGGCCAACCATGTTATACACGATAGCCAATTATGCTACACACAATGGCCAACCATGTTATACACGATAGCTGATAATGCTACACACAATGGTCAACCATGTTATACACGATAGCCAATTATGCCACACACAATGGCCAACCATGTTATACACGATAGCTGATAATGCTACACACAATGACCAACCATGTTATACACGATAGCCAACGAAACTTTCACAAATTTTTGACATTTCAAAACGTTTTTCACATATGCGAAGAATTCGTCTATTGTAAAATTTGTGGTTCAACAATACCATGTAGACTTCTTCTGTACATTTGAATGATTGAATAACAAAAATAAAAAGCCTACCCCATCCAGTTATGATCCAATTTACAATGATGTAAATACTGATTAAAATTGCACCAACAGGATCAATATATATGAGACCGGAGGCGTTTACTTGTCCCTGCATTTCCTCAGATCCTTAAAGTGTAAATAATGTTTAAATAGAGTAAATCATACTATATAATGACAATTAATTACCATTTTAAAACACAAATATGTATCTTTAATTGGCCACTTGATCTCAAAGTTTACAAGAAAAAGACTGATTTAACTTTTGATCAACTACAGTATTTCCCTATAATGAAATTGTACATGTTTTAATTCTAGAAAATTTTTTTCCCCATAACTTCCAAAAAGGTAACCAAAAGACAATAGAAACAAATTTTAAGAAAAAAACATCATTTTTTAGGCCCTGTCCCAAAGCCGGGACTGGGGGGGTGTTTTCCCCACTCCCCGGCCAAAACGTACAATCCCAATTTTATCACGCAAATAATGTGATTTTTGGGTTGAAAACCCCCTAAAAACCCAACCCGTTTCTCTTAGGCGTTAGTTTTGGCTTTCCCATCTCAATGAAATGTTTAATCTATGTTCTATGCTTTCTAAAATATTTTTAAAACATCGCCCTTTAAAATATTTTACGTTTAAATCCATTATTCATGATAAATGAATGAAAATTGGGTTGTGGGAAATAGCCCCAGTGTATGTTCTCATTCTTATTTTAAGAAAGCAAGAAAGAAAAGTGTTTTTTTTTTCTTTTTGATAATTATTATATTCAGAAAGGCAAGATATACAACGTAAAAGTCTTACCTACAGTAGCACTTGCTATACCGACTGTAATCCAGTTCATGTTCGGGGGTGACTGTGTCTTGTTGATTAAACCAAATATTTTTGTAAACGACTCCTTAATAATTTGTAGAGATGCCACGGACATAATTACAGCTAAGATGACGATAGATAGTGGTTCCAGTTTTGTCCTGCCTGCAATCAGAATGATAACAATAATTCTATTTAATAGTCATTGTGAAAAAAACTCTATTTATAACATTATAACATACGGGAAAAGAAAAACATTTAAACTTTTTTTAGGTAGGGTAGGGTAGGTAGGTAGGTAGGTAAAAACAATAAATGCTTATCAAAATTGAATATCAAATTAGTGTTAATTAGGAATATTAAAATTTACACTATTATTTAGTATTAATCAAGATTTAAAATTATCGGTCGGTCGGTCGGTAGGTATAGGTAGGTAGGTAAAAAACAATAAATGCTTATCAAAATTGAATATCAAATTAGTGTTTAAATAAGAATATTAAAATTTACACTATTATTTAGTATTAATCAAGATTTAAAATTATTTCAAAAGAAATTTCAATTTAAAAAAAAATTGAATGTAAACAAAAAATAAGAGGTCTAGTTTATACATACAAACAGAAATAAATTAAATCTGAATTGAGCTGAAAATGTGAGACCTCTGAACTTATCCAACCACTTAATATCTCTTACCTCAGCAATATTCAATCTTTAAAAACAAATGACTTTTGACCAAAATCGGAATTCATTAGCGACTTGTGATTGAAGATAATCAAGAGCAATAATTCGGAACAAAAATTGCCCGGTTAAATATGCAAATAAGCAGGGGCATCACCTGAATATATAGATATTGAACATGTGACATTGAGTTTTGTAGTCCACTCTATTAATCTATTTTCAACCGGTAACTTTTTGACAAAAGAAAATTGGTATTTATCAATATGAAGCCTATCACCAAAGATTCAAGCTTATTTTGGTAGACCTTAAGTTTGTTATACAAAAGGAAATCACACTAGCAATACATAATCAAAGTGACACTGGTTCATAGACTTACCCAATAATTTGAAGCTTGAGTCTTGAATTTGCCTTCTAAATGACTGACATGAACATTAAATCAAAGATAAGGCTCTGACCAATGATTGATTCGTATAAATGGCTTACTGTATCCTGATATAATATTATGCTGGCCAATTCACGTGGCATTTTAATTTGTTATTATCTGACACAATTCAGTCATAAACTTACCGACAATAGCAAACGGCCATTTTTTATCCTCCGCTTCTGCGACGAATATTCCACCGCCGCTGCGATGGATCCACCGCTAGCTTTGGCCAGTGTAATTAGGGTATCATACCTTAATGTCAGCATTCGTACATGGAAATTTAATACTTTTAATGTAAATCCATTAATTAACAATATACATATTTTTGAAAATATTTCACCTTGAGGATATGAGTATCTGTCAGTCTTCTTCACAGCTCTTGTAGTAACCCATATAACAACGCCGGAGAGTAGATCCACTGAGCTATCCACCAGACTTGATATTAGAGATATAGAGCCCGACAGTACTACTGCTACAACTTTAATGATTAACAGCACCTGTGATTACATAATTTCTCATTAAGTTGTTTGTGTGCATTAAAACATCAAATTGTTTGTAACTTTAAACAAATTATTAAAACATCTAGCGCGGTGATTAAAAGTTAGCATCGTTATATTTCATTTACAAATGTATTACTTGTTCAGAGTGAACAGTTTATTAAAAAAACATAATACAAGCCAAGTTTACACAGTTCACAGCAAAAGTAGCTTTTGCATATATGCTCGCTTTCTTCCTAAGCATATTTTCTTGTTCAGCATTCCCCATCGCATCATCTAGATCAAGCCGAATCTCCTCATACTGGTTAATTAGTTCGTCCTGACTCTTGTAGAAAGATCTGTAGTTATAACAGTACATCTCTATTTAACCAAACATATCTCATAATCTGTAGTTATAACAGTATTTTACAAAAAATATCTCATAATCTGTAGTTATGGCAGAATATCCCTATTTTACCAAAAATATCTCATATTCTGTAGTTAAAAATCTTATTACCAAATATATCTCATAATCTGTAGTTATAACAGTATTCTACCAAACATATCTCATTATCTGTAGTTATTACAGTAAATCTCTTTTTTACCAAATATATCTCATAATCTGTAAGTAACAACAGTATTTTACCAAACATATCTCATAATATGTAGTTATAACAGTATTTACTAAGCATATCTCATAATCTTTAATTATAACAGAAGATCTCTATTCTACCAAACATATCTCATAATCTGTAGTTATAACAGTACATCATATTTTACCAAACATATCTCATAATCTGTAGTTATAACAGAAGATCTCTATTTTACTAAAAATATCTCATAATCTTTAGTTATAACAGAAGATCTTTATTTTACTAAACATATCTCATAATCTGTAGTTATAACAGTAGATCTCTATTTTACCAAACATCTCTAAATAATCTGTAGTTATAACAGAAGATTTTTATTTTACTGAACATATCTCATAATCTTTAATTATAACAGAAGATCTCTATTCTACCAAACATATCTAAATAATCTGTAGTTATAACAGTACATCTCTATTCTACCAAACATATCTCATAATCTGTAGTTAACAGTAGATCTCTATTCTACCAAACATATCTCATAACCTGTAGTTATATTTTCTGTTATTATCTCTATTTCACCAAATATATCTCATAATCTTAATTAACATCATTTATGATCTCACTTTGACAAAAACAAATGTTACATAGAAAGACAAAACACACAAAAATGGAGAAAAGTTTACATCAACAATCTATTTTTTTATTTCTATTATTAAATAAGTACTGTATAGAATAATGCTGAATAAATCTTGTAAACTGTAGTGTTGTTGAAGGGATATAAAAGTGGGCTAGTGCACCATTTTTGGTGCATTAAAGTGTAAAGATATCTATGTCTGCTGCAAAAATTATTGTTTGGATTTTATAAAAAAGAATACTTCTAAAAACGCTTGTATAAAATACATATTGCCAATGCTAAATGGATAAAATCCTTTTTAAAATGGCAGAATATTTTGTTCCGGAACATTTTATTCTGTTTACGTATAATATTCATGTGTGTGTCATATAACGTATGGTACACATTTTCAGAAAAATAAACCAATATAATTTTACTGTTGATGAATTTTATAAAATAAATGAATTGAAACTGGAGTTGATTTTTATATTCAAGCTTACATAAAAATAGTTCATAAGATATCTAGCTCTATAACCTTCAACATCTGCAGAAATCCTCTGAATTCTTAAATCCCTCACCTTGTGGGCTCGAGCATTAAATGTGGCCTCGTACTTCTACAGATGTTAATGCACGAAAAAGTTGCTTGCAAAGTAGTTCACGTATGAGACAGTTATGTTTATAAATGAAACTTTCGGGCAGTTAGTTTTGATTTGCACACCGACAGGGGGTCGAACGTATAGCGGTGCGATACTCCTTTAAGCGAGGTGATTTCATGCGATACGCCCTAATGGCGGATTTACCCGTGTAAACACACGTCAGAGTGAGTGTTTTTTTATTAAGTATTTCATAAATTTTCGATTACAATTGCATATTTTGTATTGAGGATGTGAAGATAGGACCGACACACATTTCATCAAAATTACAGAGGCCTTAATTCATAATTAAAAAAGTTATTGAAGGTAAACTGACGGCAACTAATTTTGGGTCGGTGAATAAAATTGCTTAATGCAAGATTTATATTAATATAGTTAATTTCTTTTTCTTCTTTATTCTATAAGAGTAATCATAATTGAGTTGCATAGCAAGTACCTTTGTGCTTCGATATACATAGACGCTAACTGGTCAAAATATTTAAGTGTACGCTGGATTTTGGTGCGATAAAATAACTGTACGCTGTTAAAGGTTCGATATTTTTCATTATCACATCTGCTGTACATGTTTTCCTATGATTATACTAAGATATCTACCATATATGTGCCCGTTTCCGGAATTCTAAAATCTTCTTCTTTCCTTAAAGATTTACTTGAAAAAAAAGTTTTGTATAACCATCTATATAAGTGTTTGAACTTAATTTGAATAATTAATAATAATTATCCTGTGATAATTAGGAGTTGGAAAAAAGTAACCTTTACTCTAAGATCTTAGATAAAAGTAGGAATTTGACCAAAATATGTAAGAATGAATTTAAGAAACAAATTAAAAAAAATCTTGTATAAATTAACTCACTTTCAAAGCAGAACATTTCAGAAAAATAGCTGTTTATATGTGATATAAGGGCTGTTTTACTTCATGGGGTTCTAAGATCTTTTGTACATGCTGCTGTTAAACTCATATTTTTTTCATATTATAAATAGAATTGAACATTTCAAACAACCTATAAAATACAGTGAAAGTACATTTCACTGCTGTTTTAGAGATAGAGACTGAGAACCAGGTGGTAAAAATCTGTAGGTGGTAAAATTCCTTTCTAAAATGTTGCTTAGAACAGGCTATTTTTGTAGTGCACATAATTGTGGCTTGTCAGGAAAAAACACAAAACTACAATTTCAAAATTCAGTCAGTCCTTGGACACCAAACAGCTCAGTGTCTTTCTTAGGAACAGCTGATGCTCACATGTGCAAATACACAGTTGTAAATGTTGCAGAGCAATTAAAACATTACAAATTGATTAACAAACAAAACTACTGCCAGATAGTTAAAGTACCACAAGTACAAATGCTGACACATATGCAAATAAACAAAAAGCTATTGAGTATATATAATATTAGAGTGAGTCACACTGCTTATGGAGTAGTATATAAATAACATGTGGGTTTTTGGGTTACAGTTAAAATATCATCCCAAGGAAAATACTGTTAGCCAAGGTGTTAGCCGAGGGAAACCGTATTTTTAGGAGTAGTATATAAATAACATGTGGGTTTTTGGGTTACAGTTAAAATATCATGCCAAGGAAAATACTGTTAGCCAAGGTGTTAGCCGAGGGAAACCGTATTTTTAAAGGGTTGATATTTTTAGTGTTACTCACAAACGCTTGTGTGTTATTTTTTTTATTTCCCGAACAGATACTGTAATCTATAATACTTTTATTTACATAAAAAAAAAAACACTTGCCCAGATTTTATACTGTTAAAAAGTGCTGTTGGCCTGTAACAGTACAAATCTCTTGGTACACTTGCTTTAACAATAAGAGTAACTCCTAGTGGAAATGAATATTTACAAAAAAAATGAGGGGTAATGCTATACATTAAATGTTGCAGAGAAAGCCTAGTTTTAAAAGTAAAACTACTGGCAGATATGTTAAATCACTAAAAGTATGAATGATTTCATAAGCAAATACACAAAGCTGTTTGGTATACACTGGTTATGGAGTAGTATAGTTATATATTCAAAGCGACAGAGCTAATGACAAACATCAGAATTACTAAAATACAATGATGTGCTCTGTATATAATATATAACATCCAATCCATAGAGGAAATCAAACCAGTATTTTTTTTTTATAAATTTCAAGTTCCATTGCAAAAAAAATGGAAGAAACAAAACGAATATTATCGTGACTATTGATTATTTGATAGAATTTTAAATTTCTGTGCATAACTTATCTCATTTTAATGATTAACCTTTGTGAGAAAAGAATATTTAAATTAACTATATCATAGTATAATACATTAATTGACACTGTTGTTTTAATTGACACTGTGGTTTACATATGATTAACATGCAAACTCAAAACTTGATATTTCATCAAAATTGAATAAGAATGTACTGTAATGAGGAAGTTGCTACAGAAAAACATACCAACATTTGTGCGTACAGTTGGTTTATCGGACCAAATATTTGGCGTACAGTAAGAAAACTGGAAATATTTTATATATTTTCGGATAGATATGGAAAACTACTCTTGTATATCGTTTTGTTTTTAAAAATAAACATGTTGGGACTTAAGCTAATCGAATATCTCGTTTTAAAACAACTGATACATTATTCGTTTGCATGTGAATATCAGTTTGACGGTTGAATTTGCAGCAACAAATACCTCAATAACTTCCTCAATTCCAAAAAATTTAGTATTTTATTTTGACAATCATGCACAATTATAAGTTCTGATCAGCATGCACAATGCTATTCTTCAAAAAATTACAATAGACAACAAATATTTGGGAAAAAACATGCTCATACCCACTTTCATTTTCGCTTCCGTTCGCCATTAGGGCGTATCGCATGAATTGACCTCGCTTAAAGGAGTATCGCACCGCTATACGTTCGACCCCCTGACCGAGTTATGAATGTTTAAAGAGCAGACACAGCGCGTGCTCGCATGATTTTATCCATTTATGCATATTTTCCACACATACATATATACAATATTACAGGAAGAATGGTAAGAAAATGTAAGCTAGAGACTATGTTAAACATAAGGAAAGAGTATATAGCGAATAATATGTATGCAGGAATGAACATGAGTGTAAAAAGGAAAACATACACGTGTGAGAAGCACTGTATATATACTGCACAAAGAAGAACAACGTGCTCAAAAGCTATTGTGAACGGACTGTATTTCGTGCAAAAACACGGTTAGAGTTGTATAAACAAAGAAGTAATGTTCCAGGCATAAAACTTTTTTCAAATTGTTCAAGGAACTTCATCTCTGTTTAGCATGACAACAGGAAACAAGCTACATTATCTGGTGGGTCTCTACAAAGTTTGTTCTAGTTAGGTCTATAGCCGTAATTGGCCACATCCCCGAGAGTTATGGGTTTTCCTTATAATAATGTATAAAGTATACACTGAAACTTTTCTGTTCTCAACCAAAAAAGGCTAGATCTTAGATATAGATTTGGCATGAAATAGTGGCCTTTTGTTTGGTTGACCGCTACCAAGTTTGTTCAAGTTTGTTCGCCCAGAGGCCATATGTTTTCCTTTTATATGTAGATCTATGTGTATACAGTTAAAAGTAACAAATCATCTCCCCTGAAACATCAAGTCACGAAATTTGAGCTTAGATATTTGACATGTAACAATGGCTGTCAATCATTTTACAGTCACTGACTTTCCTTTTTCTTAACAACCAAAGACTTCCACAACAACAAAATTAACTTTCCTGAGCAACCAATAGACTCCATGGCAAGCAACGACGCCTCTTAGCCATCAGTTACTCAAAATAACTTTATAAACTACTCATAGCAACCAGTGAGTTTCTTAGCAGGAACCAGTGACTTCCATAACAAATACTGACTTACATAATTATCAGAATTTTCCAACCATTGACTCAATAGCAAACAGTGACTTCCATAATAACCATTGACTTTCATTATCTTCTTACGGTAAATATATTATTTATTAGATGTAAAATTCCAAGGCTCACTGAAAAGGCTTAAAAGGTGAATTATTGTTAAAATTTGTGAAGTACATGTACCGTTAGTATTTAATGTATACTAGTGCGTGGATAACAAAGTACACTATGTGTATACATATGGGGGAGAGTATGATTGTTGATTTGTGCCGTGCCGTATTCTCGTTCACAAAGTGACCACTTTGTCATATTTTACTCCCACACGCAGAGCGCCCTAGACGAAAGCACGGCAAGGTGATCTCAGGGATGTGTCTCCTTTCGCTCCGCGGGGCCAAATACGACATGGCACAAATAAGCCACAGTAGGAGAAAATGAAGTTAAAGCGTTTGAGGGGGAAATATATCATTTAAACAGTAACAGAACCGTTTGAATTGATTTCTGTACATAGTGTAGGCATCTATCAGGTCGTCTTGTTTTTTATATAATGATCTGAAATCAGTAAAAAAATGTCGTGCTATACATTACTTTTTTTGACATATCATTGAATACTGGCGTTGTTACTTAAAATGACATTATGCTTAGCAAAATGTTAATTGCAAATGTAAAGGTTAAAGACAAAATAACATTTTGCCAAAAATGTTTTCAATTTTATACTTTAATAGGCAAAGCTAATAAGTAACTAACAAAAAAACCCAAGGAAATATCATTTCTATAAATAACCTCCGAAAATAATCGGTAACGTTCAATTGATAAAAAGAGCGGGACAGTCTTTTTAATTGTTACGTAGTTAATTATTTTTTCATTATCAATTATTGATCGATGAACATTTTAATATTCAATCTTTTGAAAAATAAAGCAGACTTAGCTCAGATTGAGAGCGAATTTTTAGCATAATGTCACTTAATCACGTGGGTGGGAGGAACTGTTACACGAATGATTAGAGTTCTTATGATAACTTGTTCGGAGTTCTTATGATCACAGTCACGGAGTTCCTGGAAAACGTACAGGATTTCTTCGGAAACCCTTTATTATATACCGGAGAAACAACACGTAAAATGGTATTTTTTACCTTTAAATGGGGAGTTTGATGTGTTAAATGAAACGTTGATTATTAAGCTCGCCTTACATATTGTATTATGTTTCAGAAAAAAAGCTTTTCAAGCTATTTTTCATCGCCTCTTCTTTAAAATCTTATAGTTTTGAGTGAAATTTCCAAATTATTTGCTGATTGGTACATATTGACCATTTCATTTGTGTTCTTCCACGTTGACATATTTAATTACCTATTAAATTATAATGGAGAGTTGCAAATGTAAAGCCCAGCCTAATAAATTTATAACTATGTATAATGAGCTAACGTAAAATTTCTAACAACGTCAACAAAATTAATATTTATGTGTATTACCCTACGATGATTGCGCGTGCGCGAAAAATAATGCTTGATATTAACGATTTATAAAAAGGAATAAGATATTATTAAATATAAACACGCTTTAAAAAATATTTAATGAATGATTTACGTAAGAAAGCAAATTTATTTCAGTATGCTAAAAAATTTAATAGGTTATACTAACCTCATTTGTTTTGAAACTTTCCTTTGCTTACGCTTTGACCCCTGACGTTTTGAAGTAAACTCTTCCAGCGAAAGTCTCCATGTATCACCAGAGATGACTGTTGATAAAATTATTAATAAATATTGTTATTGGGAGAATTCAAAAATGAAGTATTTGCACATAAATGTTATTAATTTATTATATTGTAGTTTATGTACTGAAAATAAACCTGCAAATACACTTAAAGAATATTCATTTTAATTCGTTCACTACAAAATAAAACGGAGACGGCTTAATTTAGTTCTCGGCTTTAGTTTTCCATAAATTTGAATTTGTTTTCTGTAAAAGTTGTGAAAATATTACATCATAGAAGAAAAATAAACTCAATAAAACCTGAGTCCCAAGAAGAACTCGGCTCTGACCCGCTGTAAAAGGTGGGATTATCGTACTTCAGCTCATTCGCAGTGTGTACTGATTTGTTTGCCAACTGAAAGAAATAACAATACATGTATTTTTGTTTTCTACACACATTGGGAAATCATATCAGTAAAATTATGTCTCTCAAAATACTGTGTGTTTAAATGTAAAATGAAATGCTAGAATTGTTTACGTACGGTATCACTAAGAAAACTGGTTTGAACTGATGATGAAAAATACATAAAAATATACCGATTTATGTTGGTTTGGCTTGTCCCCAAATGAAAGGCTCCTTTTGAAATTAGATTTAGGTGCAACTGGTTTACTTTTATCATCGAGGTTTGTCCAACAAGGGTATTGTTGTTTATTGTCAATGTCGATGGAATTCTTTTCTGAACTAATGTTTTCTAAAGGAATTTTATTATCTGACTCCATATTATTATTGATGCTGTTGTTTTCGTCAGCAGTATTACGGTTGTCTGTTATATTAGACATTTCAACGCAATTATCCATTGGAAGATTGTGGTCTGCATTCTTCTGCTCTCCCGATCCATCAAATGCGTCATTAATAAAACATGTGTCCCGATTTGCTTTGTTAAGAAAGGACTCATTCTGAAAGAATATTATCACATTATGAATTGAAATAACATGTTTATACAACTCACTGTAATAGCATTTGGTTAAAAAGGGTTAAATATCGAAATGCAATAAACTTCAATATGTTATAAAATGTTAATATTTAAAACGATATCATTTGTTTAGTTTTATCTTAACATAACAAACATTTTGAGTTGCGAAACACTTTTATTGAAGTCCAGCAGTTAACATTTACTGAAGATGCTTGGCAAATTTCGAATACGAATTAAACGTATTTATACACTAAATGTTTACATTTATTGTTAGCTACTGGTCATATTTTTATTTGTTTGGGTCGTCAGACCAAACAAATAATGGTAGCGAAATTTCAGAGTCTAATGCTGTTAATTGCAAATGCCGAAAGTAGTCCACTTTTTTGAAGCGGTTACTTCCCTTTATATGTACACTAACGCCGAAAATTTCAGGGGAGATCACTGCGTAAAGATGGTCAAATACAGGCACATTAATTTTCAAGCAAAATAATTCCCGAATGGTCGAAGATTTCTAATATTGTTTTATTGTATTTTCTGAAGACAAAGCGGACATTCAATCTCTGACACAGAAGTTTACGACGAACCTAACAACAAGTAGTTCTCAAAACAGCTTAAAACTAGCGATTTAAAAGAAAGAAATATTTTTATTTTGTTACAAGTATCCAACAAAGTACAACGCATTCAAAGTTTAAAAATAGCATTGGCTTATAGCATTGTCAATAAATGCACAATCACAAATTACGCGGATGAATATGATTTTATCAATGAAAATACTATTTTTAGCGATGTCGATTACCGAATACTACACAGACCGAGTAGTGGGATATATAGATTCTACATGTCGGACTGTTTGGGCGAGAAGATTTTCGCTAAATTAACTACTTCAATTTTAAACAACAGGTTTATCCTGAACAAAATACCTCGAAATTAATAAGGATTACAAACCCGAAATGCAATGGAAGTTCTAAATTTAGAATGACTTGTTGTTATTCAAATGTTGATAGTATAACTTCTCCGTCGTGCAGTGGTAACGCGCTCGCTTCGTGAGTGAGAGGTCTTGAGTTCAAATCCCAGTAGAAGAAACTTTTCTTTTTTTTAATTCTTTTGTAAGTGTCTTTGTTAAGGAAGTAGTCATGATATGTATAGGATATTGACCGAGTACGAGGTCTTTCCTAAACAGAAAGATCGATGTACGAGGCCGATATCCAACTTACACACCGTCAAACTATATATATATATTGGCCTGAGGAATGACTGCTCCAAAGCATTTGATGTAATGCACAAATATTATTTTTAACATAACGCATAAACAGGTAAGTTTTTTTTAACGTTTTGCTAAAATACAATATATATTTTGTATTTGACTTTGCTTTTCCCTTTAAGATAATAATGAAAAAGCTAAATGTGCAATTTGTCAATAATAAAGTGAATAGGTCTGTAATGGAAGATATGTTTAAGAATGATTAATTATGTTGATAGTATTTCGTATCAGACAATGCAGATTCTATGACATTTGCCCTCGGACAGTTGCCTTTTCGGACGTTTGCCCCCCCCCCCCCTCTCTTTTTTTTGCTGTTGTGACTTGTCACTCTCGTGTACAGATTTTTTGTATGCCAATGGAAACATAATTATAGTTCATTTATTTATGGATGCTATTTTGACTCTAACAAATTTGCGCGATATTTTTGTGTTTTTAAGCACAATGAATTTTTCGACAATAAGCGATGAATTTGGGTAGCAAACAATTCAACAATAAAATATTTTAACATTTTTTAAAACAAGGAGGGGGCACATGCCCGTCCTTCCAAAGATATGAGGGGGCAAATGACCGCTACTGCAAAAAGGGAGCAAACTTCCGAGGAGGCATCTGTCCGAAGGGTAATGTCCTGATACCCAGAATACTACGAAAAACTTACATATATATGTATATTGATACATGACTCGAAACTATATTTTATATAGCAGATTATAAAGTGCTCTAGATTAAAATATGATCGGTCATCATAATTTTTTTACACTAAGTCACTAATAACTTTATTAACATTTTAAAATCGTAAGTATGTATAGTGAGTTTCATAGATATAAACTTGGAGCATCCATTTTGTTACATTGTGAACTTCATGACAGAAGAACCACTTAAATAACTATTACATTGAAAAATGACGCGATTAAATAAATAATTAAACGTGTCCTAACTTTGATATGCTATCCATTATTTTTATAGAAAGATTTAATATAGGGATGTTGGAATAATTATTGCTAAGTGCATTCAATAAACTTTATCTTGTTTAAAATATGTATCCGGATTTTGTAAGACAGGAACATAAATGACAATCATTGCCATTTTATTTCAATTTTTGATTGCATTTCATGTTTTCTTTGTCTGCGCATTGACAGGTCTATTTTTCCACGTTTATTTCATGACCGGGTCTGTCTGACTAGAACAGACCCGTGCACGTGCAAAAGATAGACCTCAAAACGGACTTTCTTTTGTTTAAACAGGTCTATCTGAAAAATATAACCCTGTCACAAACAATAGAGGAGGTGTGTAAGCAAGGATAAAGTGTAGCTGTCGTAAAAAATGAACATAAATGATATTTTGATGCAACTCTAGTTATGCAGAATTCCGTATGTATCAAACTCTGGTGCCTTGCAAAATGAATTATAATACATAAAAATAAACTTATACAGGAAAATACATACATATATACAGTACGATTTCGATTGCAAAGATCAGAAAATACCACAGAACTTAAGCTTGCAGCCCTTTGATTCTTTATAAATATACATGCTTATAGTAAGCTCCAGGATTATTTACATCTGTGTTAAACAACAGTTAAAGTCGTTACAAGCCATAATTTAGAATAATATGGGTTTTCTTCAGGCCGTTCACATATAAATTCACCGTGGCTGAAGGGTTTTCGCGCTCGCTTAGGAAGCGAGAGGTCTGGAGTTCAAATACCAGAAAAGGCAACTCATTTTTTTTTAAATTGTTTAAGTCAAATAAACATTGGATTGAATATCAGTGTTGCAATTAGTCTTATAGCCAATTTACTACAATTAAAACGCTGGAAAGCATTGGTGGAACTATACATATAATCTCACAACCTGTACCTTTCTTTCATTTTGAGACCCAAACAAATTCAGCGCCTTCTGTGCTTTGATTAAATTAATGGCGCGAGTAAATAAATTTTGGTTTAGCTGCCAAAGTCATATTGTAAATTAAATTAAAACAACAACACCTTGAATTGTTACAATCTGATGTTCCCCGCTATATACCCATATATACATGTAAAAACATATAATATTTAGGAAGCATTGTTATAAATACATATGTAATATATAGCTCTTAACGAATATAGCTCTCCGTTGAGCTTTGAAGGAGCACATTTATCATTCATCATATATGTCAAATATGTGACACAGTTGTCACACTACACAAACACAATCTTCACCTTAAGAAGTAAGTGTTCGAAATTATTTTTTCCAATTGCAATTGCAGTATTTCAAATGAATCGTAACATTTACTTTGGAAAATCGGTAAACTGTTTATCAGTCTAGTAAATCGACTGTTCATAATTAAAAGCACTAAGCCGGTTAAAGTTTATTAGTACGTATTTACTGTATTGATATATAACCAAAAAAAAAAAAATAGGTGGTTGAACCGGGTGATGCTCACCGATAATGTTTTGGACACAGAGAAACTACTTTTGTTGATATCTCTTGTAGTTTCAGAGTTATGTCCCGGACAAAGTTCACAGTGTAAAAATGAACAACGGGCAATAACTCCAATATAAGGCATGGAAGAATTACGTTTCTTTTGCAAAGCACATCTGCTCAATGAGATCTATCTACCTACAAAGTTTCTTGTTGATATTTTTTATAGTTTAAGAGTTATATCCCGGACAAAGATCGTAGTGTAAAAAAAATGAACAAAGGGTAATAACTCAAAAACAAGAAAAAGCAGAGTTACGGTATTTTACACTGCAATATTACTCAACTACAAAGTTTCTTGTTGATACATCTTGCAGTTTCAGAGGTAATTGTTATATTCCATTTTTTTTGGCAACAGCGAAAACAACTTTAAACGGCTGCGCTCACTAACATATCATTTTATCTGGGTTTTCCATCTGAAACAAAGGTGAAAGGGCACAAGAGAGGGAAATGCAATAGTATGTTTTTACTGATTTCTGTTACAAAAAAGGAAAATAATGAAATTGCGATAAAACAGTTATAATATATGAAACTCGTAAGTTACGAGGGTATAACAGTGGCTGGGGCGACAATCTCGGGATGTTTATGCTAAAAAACCAAAACGTCTCGGCCTCGACATTTTTTTTTGACAGAAACATAATTTATGTCGATGTCGCCCCAGCCACTGATATACCTCCCTAATTACTCGTTTCATATACTATAACTATTACATAATAATTATGTAAATGACTGTCATTTTAGAGCAAATTGACATGACAAATTCTATATGTATCCAAATCAAACTACTGTAAGGATTTTTTTACAACTAATATATGTATATCTTTGAAGATTTGAGACTTATTAGATATTCCACACATGGGCACTGGGTAAATATTTGTTTTTTAGTTAGTGCTCTGTTTGAAAGGATGGAGTATGATTGTGCATATGTAGACATGTTTAATAGTCAGTTTGTAAACTTAGTCATGTTGCTTTATCTGATGTGAATTAAGTCATGTAAAGAATTATAGCCAAGGTTAATATAGACATTAATTAAACCTTGTGAACATGAAGCCGTATAATTACATAAACAACAATTCCCTTATATCTAATGTCAATATATTATTATCTAAATAATTATATCAGAGCATGCGCTCATATAATTCATTTTTTAAATATATAGCCATGAAATTATATCCGATGTGAATTGTCAACTTTCAAATGTTGCAAATATATTAATACAGTAGATAACTAATAGCCATAAAATAACAAGAACAATTTTAATTACTATTCAGATAACAAAGGAGTAATTATCAACGTTACGGCGCATTTCTAAAACATCAAATAATCAACACGAATTGTACCTGGAGATAAACAATATACTTGGAGAGTCTACATCCAACGTTATACGAAGACAAATCTGTTGGAATTTCAGTCCTTTTCTTTCCACTGAACATTTTTTATCCAAACATAAGATATGAAATCTAGCCACAAACTTATGCAAATTTCATGTTAAACAGTCAGCTTAATGCACATCAACTTAAGCTCGATGGTCAATATAAGGAAATTCGTTAATAATGAAAAGTGACCATATCAATAAAACGTCGTTCAAAAGTACACAGTAACAGCCTCGAGGACGTAACAAGTTTTTCGTCAACTATTTACAAGCGTTCATATATGTAAACTACTGTACTATATCTTGTATCTAAAAGCTTTACAGACTTTAAACAAGATCTTACGTAAAAACATATTTATTGCATGGCTTTGAGCTTTTTCTTTGTTCTTTTCAACACATTATACACTGTACACTTCCATTTAGGATTTGAAAACTATTTTCATATACAGCAGTTCAGTTTTTTTCACTTGATTCATATAGGTAAAATCTCAATTGATATACATATAGCAACTGAGTTTTTTCGCACCTGCTATATAATATCGGTTGAGTTTTTAACGGAGGTTCAAAGGGGACATGGGGTCAAAGAGGCCATGGGGTAACACATTTTAAAAAAAATAAATAAACAAGAGCAGGTTGAACCGGGTGATGCTCCCCAAACAGAGATTTAACTACTTCTTGTTGATATCCCTTTTATAGTTTTAGTGTTATGTCCCGTACAAAGTTCACAGTGTAAAATTTAACAAAAGGCAATAACTCCAAAATTAGGCAAGACAGAGTTACAATTCTTTTGCACTACAAATTTAAGGAGATCTATCTACGATGTATCTTAATTGTTATATTCCTTATTTTTGACAACAGCGAAAACAACTTTAAACGGCTGCGCTCACTGGCTCATTATATATAGCTATTAATGAGATTCCGCAGACAGCATTAGCTGGTATTGGTTCATTTTATCTGGGGTTTCCACTTGAAACATAAGTGAATAGGGCACGAGTATAACAAGGATACGTCTTAAAAATTGGTTGAGTAGTTTTTGAAATCATGATTTTTCAGAAATTACCTCGTAGGTTCTGCTCTGGTTCTGCACATCTGATTATATTTTTCTTTACAATATCTAAATGTATATCTGATCAATATACATTGATTAAATAATTAAAAATAGAAAAATAAATTAGACCTACTAGTTGACTGTCTATCTTATGATTTAATGTTGGCAAGTACATGTACGGCAATTTTAACAGCGCGCAGTAGAACACTATAGGACATTAGTAAAAAGCCAATGCCATTCTAAATAGTTCATGACAATATTTATGGAATAAGGTGGAAATACTCACCTTTTCCTGGTCTCTGTAGATAATTAAAATACGTGCTGCAGTCTACAATAATCACGAAACTACAAAATGTAGTCGATGTTGGGTGTATTTTAATTTGAATTCATGTAATTAACTGAGTTTACGAGAATCCCCGAAATGTTCCAGAAAAATTGGATCGTCACTCTGTTTCAGACGAAGACGCGGGCAGACATTTTTTATTATTTTCTTTTTTAAATTCCATTTGGTGTGAAAAAAAATATGATTTATTAATTTGGATAAAAGAATGGGCAATCGACATATACATACCTTAGTATCCATTGAGATCGCTATTATGTCCTTATAATAACTTGTAAGTTGATACAATGCATACAATATTCCTGTGTTAACCCATAAAATTTAAATTATCCTTTATTTTAGATGCGTACTCACGACTGTTTACATGTAAGAAGAAAAAGATGTCAAAATATAGTTCATGAATGAATGAATGAATGAATGAATGAATGAATGAATGAGTGAGTGAGTGAGTGAGTGAGTGAGTGAGTGAGTGAGTGAGTGAGTGAGTGAGTGAGTGAGTGAGTGAGTGAGTTAATGACAACTGTCACGTTTATAAGCATTCAAAATGACATACATACATACACGCACGCACGCACGCACGCACACACATATACATACATACATACATAGAAATTTTTTGCACGTGTTTATCCAAATGATGGCGACTTTGTTTTTGCTTTTAGGTACGACGTTTTTAGCATGGTATTCGTGACGATGAAATACGGTTTGCTATATATTAGTATATAGTGTAATGGGAATGGACTTAGAATTCATTTCTGACCTAAGATACATGTTACGCTCTCTTATGTCGAGAGTAAATCAATTATTCTCTAATCTACTATAGCAAGAAACAACAACAAATACATAGGAATAACGCTTAATATTTGGTAGTACATATTACAAATCAATAGAATCAATCGGTATTTATCTGTATCTGTTATGTTCTTGTATTTGGGATTCATCAGATGTATAGCATTGTTGCTGTATCCGAAACTCTGAAACGAAACTAAAACAGATCTGAATACGTGGTTACAAAATATTACAAACAGAATAATATTGTGTAATCTGTAAAATATTAAATAACAAGTTATGTTCATTAAAACAAAGAAAATTCATTAAATTATGCAACTTTAATAAGTTATATTTCAAAAAAAGATTTTTTGTGTGTCATGTGAAGAATAATGAAAAAAGCCTTAATATTCAGCAAAAATGTGTTAAAAAATACTTCATTACAAAAACGTTTGTTGTAAGAAGGGATGGGGTCGGGTGGGGCGTATTTAAACAGGTTATTTAAGTACCACCAAATGCAAGCGTCGAGTGAAGAAAAACCGCGAAAACAATATATGTATATATATACCCCACTAACCCACGAAATACACGTGCCCCGTTAAAAGAAAATATTTAAGGTATCACTCCATATTCAACTTAAGGTACAGAAACCATACATAAACACTCATTCAAGCTATATATCCGATACGAGAATAATTTCATTTTTCTATACCATCAAACACTTATTGTGTGAACATTCAATGAGCGTACCCCTTTTGGTTTGCAGCCGCCTGAAACTATTGATGAAGCCCCATTTCTAGTGGCGAATTTTATTCAGACAACGAGTATAGAAAACGATTCAAATGCCGTTCAGTCGGGTACGTAATATTCACAAAAACAGCGGTCACATCTCTGTTGTTTCTCATGCATTTGCGGAGATTAAATATCTACTTATTATTTGTGATCATTATTTTCTTTAAGATTAATTTGGTATCAATGTTTTGAAATTTGGTGAAAACAATGTTGGGAGTTATGAAGTTCACATGCGGAAAAATGAGCCCTTTACTAAATACATGTACTGGGATCCTACATATTTACCGGACAATCAGTTTACCGGACAAAAGCTTTTCCTGTCGAATAGTGCTTTATTTTTTGCTTTGATTGAAAAATCATACAGTCTGAATCGTACACACACTTTCTGTTTTAAAGTAAATAACAACAAAACCACTCTCAGGTAAGTATTGTTGATTCAGTCCTTTATTCACTAACATGCCCTTTTGTTTTACTAGTTATTTCATGTCGGGAATAATCTGTTCTGCGCAGGCCCGAATATGGAGACCCTTTATGGGTTATTTTAGATAGGTTTTACTTTTAATTCTTCTCAACGTTACCTCAAGAGACAATCGTAACATATTTTACTGATAAAAAGTAATTTTAAATTTAGTCTAAAAAGTATCTCACAAAGAAATTCAAATTAAAAAACATATAAGGAAACGGGTTAGGAGGAAACTCGACATGAAATGTAAATAAAAAAATAGATTTTATGTCTTTTCTAACGTGCTATATGATGACTAAAAGGAAACTGTATGACAAAGAACAGAATTCCATTTCAATATCAAAATGTTTCAAACGTTTGAGATTCATGAAGAATCAATACGTTAATTGAGTTAATAGTGTTAATTTCAATTACACCCCATATATTGGCCTCTTCATAACAGGCATTGCTGCCGTGTCTATTTCTAGTGATATACTAAGTTTTTCAAATATCTGAACCTTGCCATTCAATAGTCGTAGTTTCCTTGCTGATTATTTAAAGATTAATTTTAATTCACGACTTCAAAAACTTTTGAAACACAATGTCCAGTAAATTGAGTTGTGTACACGATTTTTTCCCTCTTATTATGCCCTACTTTAAAGACTCATTTCTACGGTCAAATGTTAAATTTCATGTTTGCTAAAGGAATGTTTACGTGCATTAAGAACCCAAAATTATTCAGGTAAAATTTCATTCTTTTTTATTATTTTAGATAAAAGTTACAGATAAAAACATCATATTTTGTCCGGTAATATGTAGGATCCCAGTATACTGTATATGTATCACATTTTTTTCGGACAAAACACGTCTGTTTTCAGTTTGACTTCTTGTAAAATTAACAGGGAAGGACTGAATACAAGAAGAATTTTCATTGATCATTTAAAATTACAAAACGAAATCGGTGAATTTCATTGGTCATTCTAAAATAAAATGTAAAGGATAGTTCTAACCATGCTAAAATAAAATGTAAAGTGATAGTTCTTATCATTCTAAAATAAAATTTTAAGGATAGTTCTAAAATAAAATGTAAGAGATAGTTTTTACCACTAAAGAATAAAATGTTAAGGATATTCTAAAATAAAATGTTTAGGAATGAGGATAGTTTTTTAAACTTTAAAGTTAATTTGTAGAGCTAAATGATTACAAAATTTATAAAGTCAAACATAAAACAAGTAAAAGAGATACATGAAAAAGAAATTGTCCTACTTTGAAAAATCATTACTATCAATATGTTTTAATTAAATTTCAATGTTTAAAAATAGTTTTTTTTCTTAGCTATAAGAAATAATTATTGTCATTGTTATGCCAGCATTGTTAGCATTTTTCTTTATTTAGCAAAAGTGAAAGGCTATCCAGTTTTAAGTATATATATAATAATGTAGAGGTAAATCATGTTTCGAAATATAAATATCTTGGAATACTATTTTCTTCTTCGGGTAGTTTTACTGAGTGCAAAAAAGATTTGTATAAAAGGGCATTAAAAGCAAATTTTAAATTAGGCAAAGCTTTCAGTAATTTGAATACTAATGTTCATACATAATTGTATTTGTTCGACCATACTGTTAACCTGTAGTGAAATCAGGGGTACTTTGAATACAACAACCAGTAGAGTTAATAAAGAGGGTTTTTGTCTACTTCAATGCTTTAATGACATGCCATGTGAAAAACTACATACAAAATTCCTAAAACATATGTTAGGGGTTCACAAAAAAGCATGCAATGATGCTGTTTAAGGTGAATTGGGGGAAATTTCCTTTATATTTTGATTTATTAAGTATTATACAAGCCTTAAGGTTAACCAAATCTCCAATTAGTGAACTTTTAAAAAATGCTTATGTTGTTCAAAAGTGAAAATTTGTACAATTGTAAAAAAAATTCTTTTAAAATTCGATTTATGGATAAATTAAAAAATGCGGTAGATAATGATGGAAATATTACGTACTTATGCACTGTTTAAAACAAATTTTGTAGGGAACCTTATTTAGCAGTAATCCAAGAATTAGGCGTTGATATTTTTTGCTTATTCATAACATACGCGCTATTTTTACGAGCACGTCACAATTTCTGATTGATACATAGAAATCTACTCGATTTTCTGAACAGAAGCAAAGACTGGAACCCAGGCTAGTAAAGTCTAAATACAGGTACATTTCAATATAACGTGTTATTTAATTTTATCCATGAAATATGGTGCTATATGGTCAAATATATTTCATATTTTTAAAAAATAAATATGAAACATAAATATGAAAGTGGGCGGAGTCAAAACTCATATTTATTTTAAGGGACTTCTTTCGCCATTTTGTTGAAAAAAATCTGATAAATAAATAAAAACTTTTTATTGAATTTTGTTTTGAAAACTATCTAGAATGATAGAAAATGGTCTAACTAAGAAATTAAATCCGGACACCAATATCTTTAATTCAGTAATTACAAGGTGCGAAAAAAAACTCAACAGTTTTTTTCCTATACGAATCAATGAAAAAACTGTACTGTACTGTTATATATCAATACAGTTTTCAAGTGTCCTGAGTATAATGGGTTAGTAAGAACAAAGGAAAAGTTCCAAACCATGACATAAAAATAACAAACGCCCCGTGATAGCATGACTTTTATCCAGAGGGGTGGGGAAAATAAAATTACGTGTACCGAAAAATTTGAGTCGGTGACCCCCTATTTTTTTCAGTCATTTAGACTGAGTATACATTTTAAAGTACGTTTAAAGAAAAAAATCAAACATTTATTTCAGGAATTTTTTAATAAGCCGATTAAAAGCCGAAAATGCGGCTAAACTGAACGTCAAATTTTACACAAAATTGACAATTTTCTTTCCATTTTTCAAACATTTTTCGGCGTAAAATGATAAATTTTATATCAGCTGAAAGAAAAAAAAATACGTTGGATGTTGTAAAATTAAAGATATTTTGTCCGCCAATGGCGTTGAAATACCCATATATATATATAATTATGATGTTTAATTCTAAAACTCTGTCATTTACTGTGTTTGTTTGTTTTGTTTTTACTTTATGTTAATTGTTGTTACCATTATACAAATCAAGTTTTAGTTTCTTTAACGTCTTTATTTGATCAGATTATTATTATTGTGATTTACATGTCATTTAACATGACCCTTGATTGGAAATTAAAGTTATTCTATCATGCAAATGCTAATCAGTTTTACTTCCTTAAAGCTTTTTTAAAGATACTTCTTGTTTTATTTGGCGTTACTGAACACCTGTGTGTGGAACATTTTATTTAACAAATATTCCGAACCATTCATTTCATTATTTAAAGTACGTTCTAAATAATTATTTTGAAGTTGGGCGAATCGTCACTAAACGGGTCGTTGAAGAGCGAATCGTTAGTGGGGCGAATCGTTTTTTTTTTTCACAGACATGACAGTTACTATCACACCGTATATAAACAATTGTGGATGGAAAAATGAACTTGCTCAACGTAATTAAACCTGTTGAGGTTGCCGAACTTTGTACTTTGCCTCAAACTTAATGATGTGTGACAGTTAAATAGATTCATTTTGCACAATATTTAGTTATGTATTTGTCTATCTGTAGAACACATGAAACGATGGACAAACGTTACGAATGATAAAATAAGTGATTTTGAGATCTATCAGTTTATTCACAGATATTCAACTCCATGGTTTATTTGATTTTGTTATTTTAATTACCACCATTAAATTCAAAACTAAAGCCTGTTACCGTACAACATTTATTTACATTCATAAATGAGACTGAAAAGATTACATTAAAAATAAATAGGAAAATGAGCATTGCTTTTAGAGAAGTGTTTGAAGAATTTGACAAAGTTAGCTTTGATAACAAATGTTTGACTAGAAATAATAGAATTTCAGATGCTTTTCATATTGGAGAAAAACTGCTTTTATCCAGCAACAACATGCGACCAAAGTCTAGATCAAAATCATCCGTAGGAAGTTATGGCATTTCTAAGCTTTTGTCACAGGATAATGAACTAAAACATCAGACTCCTATTTTAACTGCTGTAAATTTGCTTAATACAGACAGTGATATAGTAAAAGACAAAAATTCAAAGCATATTGGAAATGAGGAAATTTATAATGATGGCAACAGTAATGCACATTGTTATCCAGATACCTCAAATGAATCTCTAAAAAAAGGTAGGTTATTAACCAAACTTGTGGCCAAAACTTATTATCTTGTGGCTACAACAGTGACCTTATTATCTTGAGGCTTCAATATAATATCTTGTGGCCAAAACTTACTTTCTTGAGGACACATATTATTTTTAGCCATTGACAATGGTTGCTTCATCTTTGAACGAAAAATGAATCAATTGAAAATGGTGATTTGGTGTAAAGCAATCATAATTTTTTATATTTTATCATTTGCATTGGCCATCTCTCATCATTTTAAGTGATTTTGGATGTTCTTAACTTTAAACAAGAAATGCATGTAACATTTTTAATTGGAATTATGGTCATAAATCTCTGATCGGAATATGGATAATATATGGTATGGAGTGAAGCTATAAAATTTTATGATTTTTCAAACTTTTGATCTTTCATGTATAAAAAATTAAAGTTCAATATTGAGAAGTGTCATAGCATATGCATCTTGCCAGCCCTGAATTTCATATTTGAAAATAGGGAGTTTTTTGGGACAAGGAGAAGTGCATAATAAAAATTACATTTTTGGGAGTGTTGATGTCCCATTTGAAAATATTTCTTTTAAGTTTTAGATTGACCAAACATTAGGAATTATTTACGTTGAAATAAAACAATATGTTTAACATTATGTTCACTAAATTTCTGCTGCACAATTACTCCAGCGATATTACACTGCAAAATTCAACTTTAAAATCAATGAAGCAAACACATATATTACAAGCAGAGATCTGCCGAGGACGCGATTTTGCACCATTGGCGCTAAAAAAATGAGAATGGCGCAGGAAAACGGGCAGCAAAGGGCCAAGGGCGCATCTAAAATCAGTGCCAGATTTAAATGAAAACAAAACTATCTGCTGGGTCATTTAGTCATCCAGTCAAAACTGGTACCAACAGCAACACGTTACCCATTCCCCTGTAATAACGCATATTCTTGAGTTTATCCATTCCCCTAGCTTTTGTTCACTTTATCTACTTACCGCATTTCTTCTCATAATCCCTTTCCCACATGGATACTCATTTCTACTACCGTAAATTTAATCCAATACAAACAAACAAAAAAATTATACAACTACTTAATATTTAAAATGATTATCGGTAACTGAAAAAGTGTTGCCATTTTTAGAAAAGCTGTAAGTTACAGTATAATCTGACAGGTGTACAACTTGATTTCCCCTAAGGTCACTCAAGTTCACGATGAAGTGTAAAAAAATATGTCTATTTCGTCATCAGAATATTTGACAGGGTGATTAACCAATCAGGGAAACATTGGGCATGACTTTTTCCTGATCAAAAAGTCTGTCGGCAAGTGTCTTTGATGTATGCTTTCTACACAGAGGCATACAAGGAGTAATAAAATCCGTCAATATACATTGTGACAAGGACATTTGGTGCAAAGTAGTAACAATTAAATGGATAATGCACAGTATTAGACATTAGAAATTATGTGGATAAATTATGCAAATCAGATTTTTGAGCAGCCATTTGAAAAAATGTTTTGCCTGCAATTAATATTAGTTAGAAAAGTACTGTCTAGGCATTTTTTTTAATTATTGGTTATCTTCTCTGTTAAATACTGAATTATAAGTGAACCACTAGTCATAAAATATGATTTAATTTCCATTATAAAGGAAATTCAATTATCTACAAACTTTTTAACAGTCATTTAGGTCAATGTGTACTTATTTTCCAAAGGCCCATATTTTGGTCAAAATGGCCCATCATTTTCAGACCAAGTGGGCCCAGGGCCCAGTACTTTCAAATTCTCGGCAGATCTCTGTTACAAGACTTACCAACAAATGTACTTAGGGCTAAGTATGTCCCTTATTGGTCTTAATTGAAATGAATGACCTCTTAATTGTTTAATTGTTGTTTATTGATATTTATTCAACAACATTCGAAAGCACTCGTTAACTTCCAACACCCGCTCAATTGAATCACCGCATATTATGTTTTCCAATTTACACTAGTCAAAATACGTTTAACAGACCGTTTTGAAATAGGCAGAACGTGGACAATTTTTATTACTTGGAAAATTTTACATGTGTTTATCCAATTGTTTGCTTTTGCTTTTCTAAGCAAACTGGGCGAAATAAGAGAGACAAGGCAACTATTTTCGCCCAAGTTGCCTAGAAATGTGATCCCTTAGATTAACAGTTAGTATTTCACTACCTATGAAAAAAACCAATAAATTACCAGCATTTGAACCACATGATCTTCCGATAGAAGTAATTATTGACCCAATCTTAACAATTTAGCCTCAAGTTTAAAATTCATAACAAGTAACTTTTCATAGTTACTGGACATGATATTTTATATAAATAATGTATCAGGAAGCTTGATATTGAGTTATCTCTCCTGAAAGTGGTCTGAAAGATTTTTAAAAAAAACCCTCACTTTCAGGGGCAGATCCCGTCCCTAGATTTGCCACTAAAATGCCACCCTTTTCAATGGTGGAGTATTTAGACAATTTTCCACCAATAATGCCACCAAAACGCCACCCAAATCATGAAAATGGTGAAAAATTTGAGCAGGACTGATGTTATATAATTTTCCAGTTAATTCCACCTTTTTTTACACTAAATGCCACCAATGAGTGGAAAATTGGTGGAGTATTTAGACAAACTTTCACCATAATGCCACCATTATGCCACCTTAGGGTGGCAAACTCATTTTCCACTAGATGCCACTTGTTTCCACTTATTGTCACCATAATGGTGGAAAATTGGTGGAGTATTTAGACAAATTTCCACCATTATGCCATCATTGAGTGGCAAACTTATTTTCCACCAAATGCCACTTATTTCCACCTTTTGCCACCATAAGGGTGGAAAATTGGTGGAGTATTTAGACACTTTTCCACCATTTTGCCACCAGATAGTGGCAAATTCAGTTTCCACTAAATGCCACCTATTTTCACCCTTTCAGAAATTTTCCACCTTGTGGGTGGCAATAGCTGGAAACTGCTTGAAAGTCACCCTGTACCCTAAATTGGAAACAAACAAATTTTAAAAATAATCCTTTTTAATGTTTCCATATGAAATTATATATTGTCTCAAAAAATAGCAAAACATTAGTCCATTTATTTTCTTCAGTTTAACTTGCTATTCCTGGACGGTTTGAGTTCAGTCCTTTAGGTTGTCGGCAACTTTTCGAGCGCACAATCTAAAACAAAAAAAATTATGAATGATTAATACAATAATTAAAAACATAAGCTTACAATTTTATATGACTATTGGATATTTCTATATTCAATTTGAGTGCATAGATATGATTAAAATACTTTAAAAAACAGCACTGCAGACGTGGAAGAATCAGACTTTTCTTATTTACTCCAAGGCAGAAAATATACGCAGAATCAAAAATGATATTTTCATTCAGTTCATTAGTTACCTTCCAAGAACTTAAGTTTTGCCTTGTCTGCACAAGAAGGTCTGGGGTCAGACTCTCTGTTCCCTTTCCTCATACCAAACAATGAGTGGCCTTTAATCTCTTCTATATTGAATAGCATTCTGAAGAGCTTTGCTGTACCTTTCTCTTTTGAGGCATATGGCTTCAGTTCTGCCATCACTTGGTCCTAAAATATGATTAACAATATCAAATAAGTAAAGACAGAAAATGATTATCAATATCTAATATGTAAAGACAGAAAATGAAACACTTTTATAAGACCTTGGTATATGTATACAACTTTAAAATTTTAAAATAAGAAAGATATAAAGAAATACAACACATCAACACCAGTGCAGGTTGAGTAATTAATAATCTTCCAGTTTCAGTTCTTAACGAACCTTCATCAGGATAAATATTTGATAAAATTTTCAAGCTAAAATGTACAAAAACTCTAAAATTTGTAAAACAAAATGTAAATGCAAATTAAAGTGTCATAAAGAGTTTGAATTAAAGTAGGTTTGTAAATAGTGACTAATAGCTATATTTATCAAGAACTGAAAAGTGTCTTATTGGGTACTGTAATATTCTTTGTATATCTTATGTACTATTAAAGTTGGTCCATGCGATTCACAAATGTGAATATAATAAGAGAAAAGACACAAGTGTGTTCTAGTCAGTTTTATTATCTGGACTGATGCATTGGCGGGAAATCTCCCAGGATATAACATTCTACAGGCACAACGTGGTCAGTAGAAATTTACAGAAATGAGTATTAAGGTTAAAGGTCATATGAATATAAAATAACTCAATATCATTACATTTCCCTCTTTTTAAATACATAGCTGAATGGTATCCACATGTTAATAAATCATAAAGGAATATGGTTCAATTTAAAAATAACGTTAGAATAACACATGTTTAAATATCAATTAAGTAATCAGTTTATATAAACAAATATATGTTTATCAATAAATGTATGTGTTTATTCCAGTTTATATATTTTTTTCTTTATTGTTTATTTTTTTGTTTGTGATGTTTTCTTATTAGTAAACACTCAGTATACTTTTTTTCAATTGTTCACCATGTTCTCATTATAATATCGTTTGTTCAATTTCACTTCCCTGCCTGATCGTGTGTGATAATAGTGGTCAATTGGGCTGGGCTTATTGGAGGTCAATGAGTGGTCAGCATTGTGTGATTCTGAAATTTTTCCATTAATTGAGGGAGTGATAGGGTTATTAGCCAAAATGTTGGGGGAAAATTCCTGAATTTCTGGGAAAGTTTCTTCAGTTTTATTAAGCATTCGCCTATTTCTGCGGTAAATGCCACCTGCATGAGTTATTACAGAGTAGGATCGGTCATTGTGAATTTTTATCACTTTTGCTGGTTCCCATGACCTTGATGCGGACATATTCATTAAGTGTAAGAAGGGGTAGTTGCTTTGATGTTTTATCATAGCAACTTTTTTGTTTCTGCTTTATTTTTTGCATCTTTTCGCGTACCTGTTTACAATTTACTGTTTTGGGTTGTAACTGAGAATTTGTGGTAGGTAGTATAGATTTAGTTCTTCTACCCATTAGTAATTGATTTGGGGAGAAGCC